TATGTATGTATGTATGTATGTATGCATGTATGCATGTATGCATGTATGCATGTATGCATGTATGCATGGATGCATGGATGCATGGATGCATGGATGCATGGATGTATGAATGTGATGTGATGTAATGTAATGTAATGTAATGTAATGTGATGTGTATGTGATGTGTATGTGTGACGTGACGGTGGTTTAAAATGTTTATTATGTTGAGTAGGAATGTTCCTCTCAACACATTCCCTCCACCAGATTAACGGAACTATAATCTGAGCTATGTTGCTCTCAGACCCAGTCCTGGATACCCAAGAAAACAACCATATTGGCTCGTTAAGTACTTTAACATTAGCTGCACTTGGTACCCACAAGAGAAGGCAAGGAATTTTAGATGTCTATCATACTTAATGAATAATTAGACAGGGCAGGTGATTCCTCCGTCATCTACCTTCTCCCGGTGTTATTATTAATAATTAAAGAATTATTATCATATTATTTGAGCCCCCACCAAATGTACTTCTATCTATCAGTTTAGAAAACAGGTAAGATTGAATACACTTGGAATTTAACAAACGATGTAGTATAAAACTTGACATACAGCTTTATTTTCTAACAATCAGTTAATTGACATACCCAGTTTGTTGTGTTTACACAAACAGTGACTAGCTAAAGTTATGATAGTAATGGGTTGTTTCAGCGCGAGCACAGCACCTGGGATTAGAGTGGTGTGATGAAGGTGATAAAGTATGAACAATTTATGAACATAACTTTCATAGAACCTCTGACAGCCGTGAGCACTGTCAAGCTCTTCCTCCTCTTCCAGCTTCTTCCCTGCTTGTTTCTCCTTCTCGCCCCCACCTCGTTCCCAGCTGGCCGAGTCTAACACAATGTAGGCTACTTCATGGACTGATCGTCACATGGGGGCTGTAATCATGGAAACAAAACACATACGTGTAGTATCTTGACTTACACTAAGAATACATGTATCAATTAATACAACATATAATAATAAGATATAGCCCATCACTCCTCCTCATATTCCACATCCTCTCCAGTCTAGTCTGAAGGTCTTTTGTCTTACATGGGCGTCACATATCCTGCCTTCCCTCAAATGCTATGTCATGATAGTTGACTTTCTAAGTCTGTTGTCCGTCTTCACTCAGACTTCGAATTGGCTGACATAGATTTGACATAAACATGTGGCGCAGGTTATGTGCTGAACCCGCAAACAATTTATATGTGCACGCTGTCCTGAATATTATCTTTCAGTGACCGTGAATTCTATACACCCATCATCCTTCCCCTGGGGTTATAAATCCCCTGTTCGGGTGAACACATTAAGTGAGCACATGGTGGGCACACAAAACGTAGCAGCATCCCTGCACATATTTGGGCATCATTTCCCACAGTCCCACTCATATTTTGGCTGATCGTGAAAACAATATAATTACATTTCATTATAGCAAATGTCATTGTTCACATCTTATTTTATACACATGAAAACATACAATGAAAAACATGTGACACAAAACATACAAGAAATAGGAATAGTTTAGCAGTTCCCTAACTGAGATACTGAATACTCACACAGAAAAAACTATTTCAAGCAGAATGTGCAGACAATTTAGAAAAGGTAGTATAGACTAAGCTTAACTCCCTAACCTAAGTATACAAGATTAATATTAATATTCACCTGGGAACTTTTCCAGCAAATGCCGAACACGACTCAACCAGGGAGAAAGTACTTTTCAACGGTAGGTCTGAGTCTGTGGCCTGCTGGCGGCACTATGAGGTAAATCTACGATGCCCGCAGTATAAGTATTAATCTATTGTCCAAATTAAACTCCTCCCTTTCCTTAGTTTTTACCCAACCCTCAAGATGATGGCTTAAGCCACTCCTCCGAAGTACCTATCAAATCAAATTAGCTAACAGGTGGCCTGTCACTCACAGTGAACGGCCTACAGTACGACCTTGACCAAGATAAAACATTCCTAATTGCCAAACGCCTGTTCTGCCAAGAATTACACTGACTTGCGAAACTCCGACAATGTCTAGCGTCTACTCAATTTACCTGGTCAAAAGGGCCCCGCTCAGTCTCTACAGTCTGGTCAGGAGATAACATTCTGACACTGGCGTGAGAATCCAACCTCACATCCCTAGTCTGAACCAGCGGGCTGTATTACGTAGTGTTGGGTAATTTTAAACAAAGCGCAGTGGCTTTGTCTCTAAGAAGGACTGGTAACAATTTAAATCTGTGCGGTTTAAAGCAATATTAGGATAAAGCGCAGAGTAAATATAATTCTGTCTCTTTAGAACCAGAAGAACTTATTACAAGTACTAACTTCTGGAATCACTGAGATCGTATCGTGACAGTATGTGATGTGTATGTAATGTGTATGTAATGTGTATGTATGATGTATGTATGATGTATGTATGATGTATGTATGTATGTATGGAATCATCAGGTGCCTTGCAGACTGGCCTGGGCGATCATGGATGTTGCAGCCCCTGGCTGTTGTGTGGTTTTCTTAGGCAAATTTACTAGAGCTGCTAAAGATAGAGCTCAGGAGAATTACACAGAAGCCAACAAGGAAGTTAGGAGGCATATAAGGGGCAGATAAAGTGAAATATATTAAATGATATTAATAGAATATTGGGAAAGATTAAAAAGTTTGATAAAATGTAAGAGATGAGCAGGGGTTTTTGGTCAAACAGACCGACTGGTCAATAGCCACATTACGATTATAATAGAGCAAAGCTTGAATAACTCCCTTCATTTGGGTTTTAGACAAGAAAAAACTTTTTTAAAAGCATTGATAGGGGAAATTTTCTGGAAAAATTTATGGGCACTAGGAATCCCCTAGAAAATTTCAACTTAGTAAAGGCAACATATAAAGACATGAAATGCGAGTTCTTTAGAGGGAAGCTAACGATGATTGAAATAAAACAGGTGGGGGGACAGGATGCCTTTTTTTCGCTTTTTTTCTA